CCCCCCCCCCCCCCCCCCCTCAAATGGGCGGGACAGAAGCGAAGGTGGTTCTTAAAGAAACAGAGGGCAATTTCAAGGTGTTTGGAAGAGGAAGTGACGAGAAGATAATTTTATTTTCTATTTAAACATAAAAACAGCATTTTAATTACAGCTAAAGCTGAGACAGATACTTTATTATGGTATAGTATTTAAATGTATGCCTGAGAAACACATAATATTGCCCTTTAAAATTAGAGCTGGCAGCACTTCGGCATTTTTAGCAATGAATTCCTCTGCTCCTATGCATTTGAACATGCAAGCCCCAAAGACTGAAGGCAGTGGTCCACTCACCTGGTGGAGTCGGATGGGGGGAGGGACGGACAGACCTCTGACACGGGGGTGGTCCCTTCTGAGGAGACCTCCTCCTGGCTGAACGGGTGATGCTCAAAGAACTTTGATACAAGCAACAAGCTGCAGAACAGAAGAAATTAATTAAGTAGTATTAAAAAGATTATTAACACCCACTACTGCAATAATGTCCGCTTGTTAGCAAAATATCTCATGAAACACAGAATTAACTGAATGCACTACTTTACATGTAAGTAAGCCGTTATTGGTGTGTTTTGTATTTTCTAACAGAAAACAATGGAGTCAAGTTTCTGTGTACTCAGGGGAGTTTCAGCCGTCGTCTGAAACAGTTTGTCCTGAAGTAAACAGGCAGGTAAAAAGTTTGTGTAATTTTACACACACTTCCACAGAACTGGGGTACTTTTAGAGCATTAACACCACTGGCAGCTGAGCCCCCAGGTGTGTAAGACTCACTCTAACTGGTCGTAGTTGACACACATGAGGGGGACTTCGGTGCTGCAGCGCTGGTGGAACTTGTAGCCACAGGTCTGACAGCGAAAACCTTGAAACAGCAGCTTTCTGCAGAAATCACAGAAGGCCAGCGTGAAGAAGGTCTTCCTTACCTGTGAGAAACACACAAACACACCATGAGGACCTGTTCACGTCTCACATCAATCTAAACCAGAGGAGTAAAGGAGGAGGCCTCGGAAAGCGGAGGTCCAGGTTGTACTTACAAAGTTATGAGTGGTGAGAGGAACGTTCTCCAACACTTCAACATGCAGCTCCTCTCCTGTCAGCCAGGAGATGTCTGTGTCCCAGCCAATAGGCTTCTTCTCTCTGAAACAGGAAGTCAAAAGCTTTGTAAGAGAGGAAGTGGAGCAACCAGAGGCTGCTGTTGGTTTAACCACCACTAAACAAGTTGTGCAACCTTAACCATGATGGTTTGAGCAGAAAATCAGCACATCCTGTACAAGCTTTACAGCTTATGGTTCAGACCCAGGAAGTCTGAGGTGTGGCAACCAAACCACCGGCCCACCTCAACACAGACCATGTTTGGTTTTCTCTTCTGTCCTCGCCTTCATGTAAACCAGGTGTTGCATCAATGTGGTAGCTGTGGCTGAGCTGAGGGGTTAGAGGAGTCATCCTCCAATCAGAGAGTTGGAGGTTCAATTCCACCACTGTTCCATCACATGTCGAAGTGTCCCTGGGCAAGACACTGAACCCCCACTGCCTCTGATGTGTCCCATCAGTGTATAGATGTGTTTCCAATGACCATGAAAATGCGCAAATTAGAATTTCGAAAATAAATTTGCTCAATGGAAACACGTCAATTTAGAAAATAATCATGTTTTTCGACAAAATGTTTTTGCGCTAGGATGAGGTGGTTTTTGGTCGTATCGAAATTGGTGTTTTCACAAAACTACAACGGAAACACTCGCATCACGGGAGTCATGTGATCAACAACTGGCTGTTTCTACTGGTGAAAAAGACGACGACGAAGAAGATAACAGGAAGTAGAAGTAGCAGTAATATCACACAAGTAGTAAATCAAAGTAGTAAACTCACCGACTACAATTTCCCAAAAACACAGCATACGTAGCCGATCCCAAGTAGGGGCTTTTCAGTGGAAAGCCTCGATAAAAGACGCCGCCGTCTCCTCTGATGATGAGCGCTAGTGTCGAGGTAGCAACACGCTATGTGTTTACATCCATTGACGCCATGTTTGTAATGACTTATCGCGAGAACGAACGTATTCACACGTGACTTTAATAACACATCTTACTTAATGGAAACACCGCAGTTGTGAAACTGTGTTTTTTCGACATTAACAGAATATCGACAAAGTCTTGCGCACATTTGCAATGGAAACGAAGCTTATGGGTGCGATTTAAAGAGCTGATTTAAGTTTGATTTACCTGTGTTAGCTTTGTAGTGAGATCTAGTAGAGCTGTGTGAATGAGGACACAGATTGTAGTGGGAAGCACTTTGGCTGTGTCCAAATTCAGGGGCTGCGTCCTCTCAAGGCCGAATTTTTTGGCAGCTTACGCGTCCTCCTTTTCCCTTATTTGAGGGACGGGTCCGATGGATCCTTCTCGGCCCACCATATCTCATAGTGCATTGTGGGCCAACCAGAGAGATTTTTTTTCCTGCTCGTAATGGAGGACGAAGCGAGAGTAAAAAGTACAGTTTTAAATAAAAATCTGGCGGTTTGAAATTGAAAAGTTTCAAGCGGTTGTGTTGTTTATGCTTTTATCATTTGTATAAACATGTTTTTAATACTTTTCTTGTCAGAAATCAAACAAGCTGGTACAGAGAAATAAATGTGCACCTACAGCAGGTACATTAGCTCTTCAAATATTTTATTTAAGTTCATTTTGTTGTTTTATAATAAAAATTAGCCTGGCCCTTGCCTTCCTACGCAGTTCTGCTCAATTCTAGTTTCCTTCCAATGCTCCGTCTGGGATTTCTTACATAGACAAGGATTTCTCCAGCTGAATGTTACCTGAGCCAATCAACAAGCAGGAGTTTTGAACGACGTCGATTTTCTGCTCAGTGTCTGCTAGTTAGTTTATCAATGGAAGTGGAGGAAGTGAATGAAGTCAGTCCGTGTTGATAAGGCTTCCAAATGTAATTAAATTTGTCTGACAAAAATTTGAAGTTTTCTAACCTCCTCCATGAGACGCTTTTCAAGATTTGACTCCATTTCATCTAAAATGACACGATTCTCAACTTTATCAGCTTGGTGTCGCACCCAGAACAGTACATGCCATTGTGCGCACCGCGGACGCTAAAAATTGATCTCTGTGCGCCGGACGTCCGCTTCGAGTCGGCGTGGACCTCCACGGACCGAAATACGCCCAAGTATGTGGGGGCCTTTAATTACCAGCTTTACCACGATATCATATTACATCGATATGTTTGGATGACAATTTGATATTTCTCAATATCACAAAGTCTGTCACGATACAATTTTGATTCAATTCAATTCACATGTCTGCAATCGATATAATGCGATATCATATGTCCATCCAACACAATGACTGTGTTAGATGGGCATATGATATCAATTCACATCGAGCATATGATGACGATATATTTTCATTTTGCCTCGATATAACTGAATCATGAACCATTCAAATCGATATATTGATATAGACTGATGTACTGTTGCACCCCTAACATACTGATTTTTTGCTCATTTTGATCTAGTTTTGCTTTCGTTTAACGTCGTCACAGTTGCTAAGTGACATACACTGGGGTAAAGGTGGGAATAAAGCAAGACTGTCCAAATTCACAGCCACTTTTTTCCGGTCTTCGTGGTCTACCAAGGACATGGCCCACCTAGACCGGGTACAGGCCATATTCTTCGAAGGACCCAGCCCCTGAATTTGGGCACAGCCTACGAGTATCCTGGTTGGATAGACACCTGCTATACAAGTACAATCCATTTACCATTTGAATACCAGTCAGAGTCCAGTGGATTAACTAAATTATGTTCAGCAGCACAACATAGATGCTACTTGAACTGTATTGGACTGTGATGTGTTGCAGTGAAAGTGGAGGAGTTTAACTGGGTGTCTTGTTCACAAGTGATGGTAGGATGGAGCGGGAGCTGGACCGACAGATTGGGGCCTCGTCCTCAGTAATGAGAGTGTTGCTTTGGTCGTTCTTGGTGAACAAAGAGTTGAAAGGCAAAGCTTTCGATTTACTGGTCTGTCTACGTTTTAACCCTTACCTATGGTCATGACTGAAAGAACAACATCCTGGATACAAGCTGCCAAAATGAGCTTCCTCCGTAGGGTGGCCGGGCTCAGCCTTAGAGATAGGTGGAGCTTGGAGAAGAGCCATTGCTTCTCTGTATCAAAAGGAGTCAGTGGAGGTGGTTTGTCTGATTAGGATGTCACCTGGATGCCTCCCTTTAGAGGTGTTCCAGGCACATCCCACTGTTAGGAGTACCTGGGGAAGACCCAGGGCTTACTGGAGGAATTATGTATCCTCTTTGGCCTGGGAACACCTTGAGGTCACCCAGGATGAGCTGGTAAGAGTAGCTGTGAAGAGGGGTGTCTGGGTTTCTATTAACAATGTTTTTTCTTATCGTTACTTTTGTCTTCTTCAAATTATTTCAGTGACTTTTGTTGGTTTTCCTTTTTGTAACAAAAAGAGTACAAACACATTGATCTACATCTGTATTTGTTGGGTTTTTGTGCCCTGATGAAACTTTACAGTTAGGATTTTAAACAGGTGACTTTGGGGCGTTGTACCGACCATTCTTTGAGAAAAAAGCTGTTTTGTTTTCTTATTTCTGGACAACATAAGATTAAATAATTGAAATAGTCCAAACTGAAATCCAGAGAAAATCAAAGTGTTTTTTCTTGGGCAAAATGACAAAGAAATAAAAAGTATTAATAATAATAATGTAAATCTAGAATATTTCACAGTTAAATTAGTTTTTTTTTTTTTTTTTTGCTAACATCTGCTGAAGTGAGGGGGGCACTTAAAAGTTCTCTTACTCTAAAAAATGGGGTCTGGCAAAACTTTCAAAATCTCTTCTCTAAAGAATCAGCAAGTTATTTCTCAAAAAGAAAGTCTAAGTTTACTATGACCCAGTTAAAACCTAAACCTGTTCCAGTTTGATTTAAAGCTGTAAACCAGCAGAACCCATCCAGCTTAAAGGTTTGTTCTGACAGTCTTGGAAAACACCACTCACATTTGCTCCTAAACTCACTCTCCTCACTGAATGTTTGCAAAACTCTCAGAGTAAAATATAGATTTTTGGTTTCTCCTGCAGGGTCTGGCTCTGGATTTGACGGGGACACTTACCCGTCCTGTACTCTGTAGACTGCACAGCACTCTGGGATGAGTCCTCTCATCATCAGAGCTTTCTTCAGCGAGTCCCTCACAGTCATTCCACAGCGGGCTGGGACCTGAACGCACCACAGGACCAGTCAGTCAAGCAGCAGAGACAACAGCTCAGAGTCTGGATGCTTCAAACTCTCTGTTGGTACAAACTTTAAAGGAGACCGATTATGGGTTCTAGAAATGTTTATGGTATGTCTGTGGGCTATCCAGACCATGTTCATTCAATTTAATGCACAAAATAATTCTCAGATAATAAAATTTCCCATTTTCTAGTTCTGCCTGCTCTGACTTCTGTTCAGAAGAGCTGTTTATGTTAATGAGCTCTGTTGGTAACGCCCTCCAAAAATCTGTTGACATTAACTCCGCCCTCCAAAGCCAGCGTTTACGTTAGCATGGCTAATAATAGCAGAAGCTCCATTGTACAACCATATGAGACCCAGAGGCAGAGTCGTGGTCAGCTTCTTTTTTCTCTCCCTCCTCTGCTCTGCGCTCACTCTGCATGCTGTTACCAGAGCAGGGAGCAGCAGCGGTCAAAATACCTCAGAAACTCAAACAAATATGCTTTAACAAGGCTTTAATAAGCTAAACAATAGAGGTACCTGAGAAAACGCGTTCTTAACGAATAAAAATAAATAGTTAAATTGTGTCCGTGCCGGTCTCAAACCCTGGTCTCCCACTCTCTGGTCCAACACTCTACCCATTGCCCTATTGGAGGCTTGTTGTGAAACAAGCTGCGCATTGCACAACAACCGTGACGGCTTTTTATACTGAGGAGGTGGTGTCTCACCCGGGGGTTGCTAGGTAAGGGGCTGAACGCAGGTTCCAGTGGGTTGTCGTACGGCTTGTGACATCACAAAATGACGGAAGTATAAAACTTGTTGTTAATATACATTAAAAATACATTTACTTACAGTAGATATGCCCCTGGGTGCATTTTTTTGGTCCTAAGACTGTTTTTTTAAGAAGTACATACCCAAAGTTGAGTAAAAAAAACCTTTAAAAAGTGAATTTTGCATAATAGGTCCCCTTTAAAGATGCTCCTGTTTATCTCCGAGCACCAGGAGGGACACACATCAAATCTAATCCTCACTTCAGAAAGAGTCCCAGAACTCTTCAGACACAGGACCAGAGTCTCATCACCACACAATCCAAACGATGAAACTAAACTACAGGATACAGCAGCTGCTTTGTAACTGTTACTAACAAGAGTCTCACTTTAACATGGTTCAGTTAGTGGAGTTGATGAACTGTAACAGATAGGTCCACACTGAGCTGCACACAACAAGCAACAATAACAGGAAGTTAGCATCATATGATAATCCACTATAAAATAATAAATTATAATAGTTTGAGGCACCTTACGTACTGAACTTTCTGTTGAACTGAAACAATTTTAGCTGTTTTTTTTTTTGTTCAAATCTCTTTTTGAACATTTTTGTATTTAATTGCTAAATTTTGAATAATCCACTACAAAATAAAACACGTCTTATTTGAACAAACGTGCGTGTATCATCAAAGCTGGAAAAAAATGATGGGAGTTTCTCAAACATACCACTGTTCTCTGTTTGTTTGGTAAGAAGACCCTCACTATGGGTTTCTGCGGGGAGCGAGGGTTAGCTCGACCAGCGTCTGTGGGGGTCTGCAGGACGGTTAATGTGTTGGGGACCAAGGAGAAGGCCTGAGCTCCTCCGCAGCCTCCCATCTTGACCTCCAACAGTCCCGGTGTGGGAGAAGGTGAGCAGGAGAAGTCTGCGCTGTTCCCCATGGCCTCCAGCAGCTGCTGTTCCCTCCGCTGCAGGGCGTCCAGCTTACTGGTGTACTCCTCGTAGGCCTGCCCGGGAGGAAAACACACTGAAGAGCTTCCAAACATCTGGACACATTACATGTCTGCTTCACTAACACTGATGCGCTCATACCTCCAGATATATGGAGGGAGGATTGTGTTCTCCTCCAAATTTCTCCAGGAGAGCCTCCAGGTGCTCCTGTGTCAGCTTGATCATCTGTTTGATGTTCCAGATCTGCAGAAACACGCAACACTTTTCTGTTAGCACATTCACAAAATAAATAAAGCATTACCGTATTTATTCGTGTATAATACGACCCCCCCATTTTTAACCCAAAATGCATAAAAAAATTTAATTCTTATACAACCTCTAATTTCATATGGACTTCGGGATTTTTCAACTTTTGCAGTCTTTATATACAGTATATATATCAGTAAAATTATCACTTGACTGTTGTATCCGTTTTTAATTTTAACAACATATGTACTAAAAGGTACACAACAACAAATGTATAACTACAACAAAAACTARCAAATGTTCATTTGTTAACTGGTGTGATATAACAAACAGATAAAGCTATGTGGCTCTAACAAGTGTGGATAAAGCTGAATCAAAGCCTTCAAAATCAGGCTCACCATCATCTGTATCATTAAAAGTTTCTGGTATTCCTCCTTTGTAATAAAAGGCATCAGAATCCCACCCAACAACAATCTCATCCTCTGCGTCTCGCGAGCGCCCCCTCTGGTGGGGAAACCTTTTTCAGGTAGACCAACTTTTACAGAACACCGGTAGACGGCAGCCATTACAGACGACCATGTGTTTGTTGTTTTTCCAGGAGCGGCCCAGTCGCACATTAATATCATTAGTTCGTTATGCAGGAGTGCCTTTTTATCTTTTTTTTCACATCATGTTGCCTGCTTGGATCTGTTACTATCTCTCTCAGAGGCACAAAGGAGTGTTAGAGGTAAGATCGCTTCAACCGCTTTTTACGACGTGGTTTCATTTCCAAACTCAGGCATTTTGTGAATGAGGCCGATATTTCAGTTAAAATACATCAGCAAAAATATTTATCAGAGTATAAAACTGCCCCCCAACTTTGTGCATGGTTTTATGGATTAAATTTTACGTATTATACTTGAATAAATACGTTCCTTTAGATCTGTGTGGGGCTGCTGGTATCAATCAACCCAAATCCTCTTTAAATCATTTAACAGCATGTTAAACAGCAGACAAACCTACTGACTGGATGCCATTATCACCCACTGCAAAAACTGTGTTCCTGTGTGTTCCACTCTTTGTTAGCAAATAGAAGATTAAACTAGAAGAGTTCCAGGAGAAAAGATGAAGGGGTTTACAATGTGTCGTCCAATTTATATTAAGAATAGGGATGCAAACAATTAATCGACTTACAATTAATTGTTGAATAATGGTTTATTAGATTAAAATTCCTTTCATTCGATTAATTGAAAACATCAGTTTAAACCTTATTTCAGTGTAGTCTGACCATCATCCAGAAGAGGGTGCCGCTGCTCACAGCCTGGCCTTACTCTACCTCGGCGACCATGTTGAGCTGAGCAGAGAGCAGTCTGGGTGACATCTTCTTTAAATCCATCAATCTTATTTAGTTTTATTTGTGACAACAATGATAATGGACTTGCTACACCAAACTCAAAGGAAAAGTACAGAAAGCTGTACCGGACCATCCAGCAGTATGACACTAATGACATCATGCAGGATAACAGAGAGCGGTAAGCTAACTGTAGCTTACGTTAGCTTCTTCTTGCTGAGTTTAACTTGTGTAAAAGAACAAAAATAAGGTTAAAGTCACTACAAATAATTAACGTGAAGTTAATCTGTGTGACGTAACCCCGCCAGTAAACCAATCAAATGAATATAGCTGATGTCAAATCATGGCGAGCAGCCCAGCCCGAATAGAACCACAAGGAATGCAAACAAATGCAAAGTTGCCCGTACACCTTTTGTACTTTCACGTCTTTATGGGATATTTTATTATGTTTATAGTTTGCTTTTAAGTAAATCTTTACCTTTGAAATTGTTTATTTTGCTGCATTTAATCATGAATTCAACATACAGAACCCTATGTAATAAATATAGTGATAGTAAAACAATATCAAAAACAAAAACAACACAATGCCTCCTGTTTAACACATTATTTTGATATCTCTAACGACATATTTTTAAACCAATTTTATTTTCACTTTCATAGTTTTTATCTTCAGCCATTTGTAGTTTTAACTGTCTTGGATGTTCATAGAAATGGATTTTACCAGCTTCTCGCGTCGCTTCAGTTCTCCAACAAACAGTTTAAAATTACTAATATATTGCACGCTTTCATACCAAAGCTCTAACATAAACATAAGACAATGGCCAAGAAGCAGCAGAATTAGCCATCCTCAACAACTGTTTACTTATCACCATGAGCCAAAAGTCTGTTTCAACAAATCACCTCCCCAAACCGTGGCGTTATGTGCAACACTGTAAAAGTAAAGTGACATGACGACATCAATGGAATGTACACTGGTGAACTCTGAGTCCATTTTGCTCTTTAGAATTAGCTTATACTGTTTCACTGAACGCAAGTGCTTTTGAACTTGCACAACTAACTTTGGATTACCTCTTTCCACCACTGGTCTTTACCTTTAGCATGATGCCAGTCATTGTCTTTCTAAACTCCTGGGGCACACTGTCCTCAGCTGAGACACTGTCCCCAGCTTTCTGTGCTGCATGATCAGTGTGGTACACCATGATACCAAACAGCCCTGTGACTACCAGTCAGCCTTTAAACACAGATGGACTGATTACAGGACGAGACCCCTGTGATGTTCATTACAGGACACTGTGCAGCATGTCCCTGAGGACAGGTTAGTTTCTGTCTCTCTAGAAGTATTATACTTTGAGTCTAGGCCACTTTCATTATTATTTTTATTCTAGTTTAACCAAAAATTCTAAAGCATTGGCTGATTTATTTTCTCTTTATTTCTTTTGTCAGTTTCAAATTATTTCAGTGACCTTTATACATTGTTGTTTTTTATTTAACAGAGTACAAACACCTTCATCCACTTCTCTGCTTTTAGCAACACCAAAATATTTTTGTGGTTTTTTTTTTTTTTTTTTTTGTTAGTGCAACGTTAATATTTCATTAGTAGTGGATCTCTAAAAACTCTCAGTATGTCAGGTCAAAGAACTGTTACACCTCACGAACCTAAGTTTGGACACACCCTTTACATGAAGGCACAAAATGTAGAAGGACTAAGTGGCGGAACAGAAGCTGAAATGAGTTTTTATTTTTATTTTTTTCATAATCTTAAACTACGTTCACTCTGCTGGTCTTAATGCTCAATTCTGATTTTTTTTTTTTTCTTTTTGGTCGCTGACATTCTAATTTAAAGTGGACCTCTGCTCTGTCAAACTCTAACAGTCCATGACCTGGAAGACATGATGTCATGCATTGTGGTGAAAGAAAATATCAACACACTGAAATATTGCAATATTTCCTGACACTGTTTCAATTTTTAATTAAGGCTTAATGTTGTAAGAAGCAACATAAAATAAAAATGCAGTTCTTACAATTGTGCAGTGTTCTTCTGATTACATAAAAATAAACTGAATTTAATCAGATTGTATGCATTTAATCATGGTGTGTTTTTTATACTGAGTGTTTTTTTTTTTAAATTAGTATCTTTTGGAGAAAAGAGGACAATACATCGCCTTGCTTACAAAATAACAATATATCATGATGCATCGTACCGTGACCCATATCTTATCACCAGTTTCTTGCCAATACACAGCTCTAGTCACACACGGCACACCGTGTTTATGGGAGGAAATGAACATGCAACACGTTAGCGTGGTTTGTGAAACCATTCTGAAGTGGCTGTCCAATAAATTCTTATCTGCTGTGATTGGCTGTGTCCAAAACGGCGGGCCGGGTCCTCCGAAGGCTGAATTTGTCGCCGCATACGTCACAGCGCCGCGACGAAGGCCGTCCAAAACCGAAGACTCCTCCGATGCGGCCGACAAATACGTCCTTCCTTTGGCCCGAATCAAAGGACTGGTCTGATGGATCCTTTCCGGCCCAGCATATCCCATAATGCATTGCGGCCCGTCCGGAGATTTTTTTATGCTAGTAATGGTAGAC